AGAAGCATATGTTATATATTCTCACCCTTTTTTTTGTATGTATATGCTTAGAGTTGCTTCATATTTCGGCTTCAAAAAATAGGAGGTACCTTGATATCAATTGGAAGGCCTAAAAGGCACAGATGGAATTTCTTTACATTATTTACGGTTCTATTCTGAAATAAGAGGAGTGCTGTATGTGCTTGAGTGCACAAGCACTCTTCACCCCATTGGTTGTTTTCTTCTTCTACTTCTTCTACTTCTTCTTTTAAATTAATGCACTCGGTTCAATTATGTCGCGAAAGAATCAAAGCCAAAAAGAGGGTATATATCTGTATGGTTTACAGTTCTATTCTGAAATAATGTTTTCTAAAGCAACATGTTCCTTCTCTCTTGCTTTCTTAATTACTAATCCTTCTATGTATAGAACCATAGTTGCTCCACATGTCTTTGGTACTAAAATATATATATTTTTCCAAATCCATGTGAACTGCATTCAACTTGTCCTGCAATTGATGATCCACTTGAATTAATCTTCTGTTGAAATTCATTTTTAATTATTGTAGAGAAAGTGATGCTTTAGATAAATTAATGAATGGGATTAAACATAATCTGCCATTTCAGAATGAAAAGTATTATTCATATAGACCCTAAAAGGGTTAGGGTTCTTTTTTAGAATAGAATCATATGCTTAAAGTTACCAAACTCAGCACTAGCACAACTGCCTGCAATTGGGCATTCACTACGCACCAAACACAGATATTTCACTTTTAGTGGAAGGAAGGAATAAATTCAAAAGAATTCTCACGCCATGTTTTCACTTTGAATGTTGGAAGTGATCTTCTGTAGATTTGAAATGAGAAGACCTTTTCAGAAAATTGCATTTAATTCAATTTCAACTTGGACAACAATAAGTAAGTTTTTTTTTGTTACAATTTACAATATATTTATTTAAAAAATATTATTTTTAAATTTAAAGTAAAAAAACTTTTAATTATAAATTTTAATAATTAAATTCTTGAATATTAGTGTTAGTGAATATATTAAATCGAGAAGTGATTTACTTTTCTTTCAACGAAAGCCTATATTTTCGAAAATTAGATTAAAACAATTACTAAGGATTTCTAATTCTCTGCAAATATGAACAGATTAAGAGGTTCCTACGAATGACTCATCGCCACCTCAGCGGGCAAATCCAGAGTTTATATTACAAGTGTAAAATACGTGTGAATTAGAGGGAGGATATCCGACCCCTATCTTTTAAAACCAAAATTATTTCTATTGTTTCGAAGCACTTTTATTTTGTTTTATTTTTATTTTCTTTCCAATCCAAGCAACTTTATTACTTCTTGCATTTAATTTTAATTGTCTTAATTTGGTATTTTGACTTTTTAGACTTTAATCTTAAATAAAATTTAATAATGTATATAAATGATAATTAAAAATGTTTTTTATATATAATTTTTGTTGAGTAATTTTATTAATAAAAAAATTTTAGTTGTTATTTATTATTATGTTAAATTCTATCTGAAATTCAAATTTAAAAAGTCAAATATAATCAAACTAAAACAACTAAAATAGAAGTAGTAATTATAAACTGATGTCCAAACAAGGCATTGCCATTTACTAATGATTTTGGTGTAAAATGTGATATTAATAAATTGTAAAAATTTGGGAAAAGAAGAAGCTAAAAATAGTTAAGGGAACACATATATAATGGAGAAGAAGATTTGTTCAAAAGTTTATTGTATTGGGCAACAACAAATAGAAAGAAACATTGGTGCTCAAGTCAACTTTATTATTCATTGAAAATGAGAAACAATTTTCTTTCTTTCCATGCATGCACTTTTGTTATGTTCAAAGAAGGCAGCTTTTGTTTTCTTACGTTTTATTTTATTTTGTTTTGTACGTTTTGTTTTATGACGTTTTATTAAGACTTTGTGTTTGCGGTCTTCAGAAATTCAATACCAACTTAATCTGGTTAGGTAACTCTTGTCTAGCTTTGTTAAAAGTATATATATATATATATACCAAAATCATGGCGATTACTATGAAAAGAAAAATATATAACCAAAGATTTGCATCTTATTTTTTTTCTTCCCAAAGGTACTTATCATTTCTCTTATTTATTTTCTTGATACATATATTATTAAAGAGTTATGCAATACATATATATATATGGAATAGACCATTTAATTTGCCATATTTCGCAAAAATTAAAAAAAATTAAAAATATATTATTTTAATAAATTTGTATTTAAAAAAATTAAAATATTATGTTTTTAAAATATAAATTAAATTATTTTTAATTTTTAATAATATTTTATTAAAATAACATAATTTTAAAATAATTTTTTATTAATTTTTAATAAATAAAAAAGAATAAACTCTAACTTCATATATATATATATCATCACTTGTCTCAAAGTTAGAGAACTAATGGCTCTTAATTTAAAATTTCAAATTTAATAGAGAATAAATACACGTAATATTTTTTTTATTTATGAGAAAAGTAAAAAATTAAAATATTTTAATATTTTAAATATAAATATTTTTTAATAAAAAATTTAAAATATTTTTAATAAAATTTTTTTCTATATTAATTTATTTAAAATATTTTAATTTTGTTATTATTAATAATAATATTTTAGTTACTATAATGTCATGATTTTCCTCCCATTGATTAATAAGTTACATTACTATTTCTAGTACAAAGACAATAATTATTTCACGGATCCACATTCATGTCCACGTTGTTTTACCATTTCTCTCTCACGCCATTTGGAATCATTATAATACCACCTACCCCAAGTTCACGTTATGTTCTGTTTTTCTTTTTAATTAATCTCCCACTTCCTTCCCTTCCTTTAAAACCCATAACCCATTCTCCCTCTCCTCTCCTTCACTCCTTGTGAAGAAAATGGTGTTATCTTCATCAATCTCCCCTCCCCTTTCCTGCTTCATTTACCATCTCCTCGACTACCTCTAAAATCATCACTTCTTGTTCATATACCATACAAGCTATCTTCTTCTCTGTTTTCTTCTTATGGGGGCTGGGATTTCTAGGTTGGCACCAGATGCTCAGAGAGGTCGTTCGTTGAAGCCTGGTCTTGGTGATTTACCGGAGAGTTGTATTTCTTCCATTTTTATGTACTTGGATCCGCCGGAGATTTGTAAATTTGCAAGCTTGAATCGGGCGTTCCGTGGGGCTTGTTTGGCTGATTATGTATGGGAAACTAAGTTGCCGTTGAATTATAGATATCTCGCGTATAAACTGCTCAATGAAAGTTCTGAGAGGTTGTGCAAGAAAGAGGTTTATGCAAGATTGTGCAGACCCAATAGATTCGACGGAGGCACCAAGGTAGCTATCCGTTTCCTTGCTCTCTGTTAAATCTCTGCCATATTTTTCTTACACACCCATGTGGAATACAATACATAATGTTCTTAATTTGTTTCTCCTTAATTGAATTGTAGGAAGTTTGGTTGGACAAGAGGAGTGGGAAGCTCTGCTTGTGCATTTCGGCCAAGGCGTTGAAGATAACCGGAATAGATGATAGGAGATATTGGAATCATATTCCCACAGAAGAATCAAGGTGAGATAATTGATTTTGTTGAATTTTTTTCTACTTTTTCTTCTTAAGACTTTATATTCGATTCTCTTCCTTTATTTTTTAATGGGCTGAAGTTGGATTACCATGTAAAACACCCCCATTTTGAGGACCCCATATCTCCATTCGGGTAGAAGTTCAGTTGCCATGGGAAAAAACACCTCCATTTTTAGGACTCCATATCTCATATTCCCAGCAACATAAATTTCTTAGTGGAACGCCTAGCTTTACTCTAAAAAATCTGTTCCTTTTTTTTTTCTTTTTCTTTTTCTTTTTCTCCTGGAAAAAGCAAAAGAATTTAGATTTTTCCCCTTACCCTTGCATCAATTAATTGTGATAAAGACTACAGAAAAAAAAGGAGCAAACAAACAGAAAGAGACCAGTCAAGTTGCATTTATTGGAAGATAGATAATACTTCATCAACTTGCCTTATCACTAAGGCGTTCTTTTTTTTTCTTTTTCTTTTTTTTTTTTATCAACATCATTAAAGCATTTAATTTTATAATTTTTACAAGTAGGTCCGCTGCAGTATTACTCTTTTAGCTAGATAAACAATAAGTTATATGAGAATTTTGTGGGGCTGCGTAGAGTCAATTTTTAATTGGGTTAAGAAAGTGTTGAATTTAGGTATTTTTTAAATATTTAAGTGGTCTTAAATTTTTGCTAATAACTTAAATAATTTAATGATAATTTTTTTTAATGGAAGTAAAAGATCTTAAATTTAAATTGTATGCAATGTGGGTGGCATAGATTAAGGGATGAGAGAGAGCTGTCTATTATTATATAACCCAAGATAAAAAAAATTGGTATTAACTTTTCAATTATCTATAATCTAAAGATTCATTTCCTTTGCCCTGGTAGATGCCTTGTGTAATAGATATATCATAGTATATAATTATTTCGTAGACTTCTTGCCATTTTTCTGGATTAGGCATGCTTTGAAATGTAGAATTGGTCTTTGGATTATGCTGCAAGCATAAAAAACAAAAGATGGCACCACAAGAATGGTAGCTGTAACTTCCTTTTGCTGAAATCTATGTTGAGATGCTTATTGCTCTAAACAACACAACCTTGGACATATTCCTGTTTTGAAAGATAAGACTATTCTACTTTAAGATGAAAAGAAACATTTTGAAAATTACTTAGGATATGGATATTCATTGATGTGTAGGTTTCAATCAGTTGCATATCTTCAACAAATTTGGTGGTTTGAAGTAGTTGGGGAATTAGAGTTTGAATTTCCACCAGGGTCCTATAGCCTCTTCTTCCGGCTGCAGCTAGGCAAACCCTCAAAGAGATTTGGCAGAAGGGTCTGTAACATTGATCAATTACATGGTTGGAACATTAAACCTGTGAGGTTTCAACTGTCAACCTCGAAGGGTCACCAAGCCTCATCAGAATGCTACCTACACAATCCAGGAAACTGGGTCCATTATCATGTTGGTGACTTTGTGATTGAGAATTCTGGCACCCCTACGAAGATCAAGTTTTCAATGATGCAGATCGACTGCACACATACAAAAGGAGGTCTATGTGTAGACTCTGTGTTTATATATCCTAGTGAGTATAGGGAGAGAGATTAAAAGATTATTAGGTTGATATCACGTAGAAATTAAATTGGGGCAACTATTGGCAGAAGAAACAAGAATGTGGGTTTGTTTTATTGTTGGTCCACGAATGTAATTTGCCTAGGAAGTAATGTGCATGTGCCTTCAATATTCTTTGGTTTTAAATGTTCATTCAGGTTTATTTGGCCCGGTACCCTTTTTTAATTTTTTTGGTCACCTTGTTGCGTAGATTACTTGTGAGAAAAAGTATCTTTTTTTTAAAATATTATTATTATTATTACTATAAGGTTTTTCTTTTACTATTCACCTTATGATTGACTAGATGATCAGGGTCATAAAAAAAAGGAGGTAAGTTTAACATCAAGGGTTTATCTTTTTTAATAATTCTAATTTTATAGTTTGTGTTGTAAAACAGTTTTTATTATTATTAATAAATTATATAATAAAGAATGACTCCAACTCTTCATTAATCCTTCCCCCCACTCCGTTTCAAGGTCGAACTCGAGATGGCGACTTGGAGTGTCAAGCATTTTTATGAATTAAGAACGCGTCTCGTTCATGTGATGGGCGCTTCGAAATGAGTCTCCGTCTTCTCTTGGGAAGATGACTTTTGGGGTTGGAAATTGGAATGAACTGGTCCAAGTGGGTCACTTTGGGCCTAGCAAAGGTTTGTCAAGGATGGGTAAGACAGCCGCTTTGGCATTCTTATCCGAAAGAGAAAGGGCCTAACCTGGTCCACCATCTAATCTGTTTGTAGGGCAGCTATGGATGTTTGAGTGGCTCACTTCTCTCAAGATATCATTAGATGGATGGATGCACATCCATTTTATATAGATAATCCATTATAATTATTAACGTAAAGATTGTTCATTCATCTTGATGGAATTTGTTTTGTTTTGAGTTTTTGGTGCCATATATATATATATATATTTGGCATATTCTAAAATTTTGTATGGGAACAAAACTCCTAACTTAAAGAAAACCCTAATACTAAGAGTTGTGAGGAATTGTTAGGCTATTAGAGTTGGTTTATTTGGTGTTGAATTGGTTGGTAAGCAAAACAAGTAATGCTGAATTTTTTTTTTTTGTGAAAAAATACATATCAATCTTAACTCTTAAAAATATTAAAGTTTTAATATTAAATTACATTATTTTATTTAATTAAAATTTAATTTAAAATTTAAAAACTTATCTAATTAGATATTAATATTTTGTTTAAAAAATAATAAAATTTTTAAATTTTAAATTGAAGTTTCAGTTTTTAAATATAAGTTAAAACTTTATTTTTTTAAAAAAAATCAAAACTAATACACTTTAAATTCTTTTTTTATTTTGCAAAAGACAAAAATTACATAACACATTATTATTATTATTATGAGATGGAGGACCAACTAACTAAACCTATTCGTGATAAAGGCTGCAAATGATGAGATACAGCACTTTCACTGCTAATGGTAGTTCCACGATTAATTGTTGAAGACTGCTGGAATTAACCAAACTTCAATTTGCTAGCTACCATACATGCTCATGCAGCATTTAAATGAAGTTAACAAGCACTGCCGAATGAAACATGTAAAATATCATATATATTAATAGAAATCCCAATCTGTTCTCTAAGTTCATCCAATAGATTACACTTGCAAGACTTGAAAAAAAGGAGACTCCTATATATATATATAAATATAGAAAGAGAAGATAACTAAACGCCTACCATAGCACAATAAAAGTGATGTCACAACAATTCCACAATTTGAGAAAGCCAAAAAAAGAAGAGATAAAAGAGGAAAAATCGACAGCTATTCAGATTATCTGTACAAGATTTTTACGCAATACACTCACCCATCATAAGCAATTAACTGGGCCAGAGTAGGTTAGTTATGCCTTCCAGCTATAACCAATATTATCATCAAGCTCACTGTTAAAAAACCCATTTTCTGAGAAATCATGAGATATATCAGGAACAATATCATCCTGCAAATGGAGATTCTGAGGCACGTCAGCTGCTCTTTGGTTAACTCCATTGTTGCCACCAACTGCTGATGCGTCGCTGTTTGAAGCAGCAGCTTTAAAACTGTTGCTCCGGCTTGAAGCAGGCCCAGCAGCACTCCCTGACACATTCGATGGAGCTGCAGCTGGTGCAGAAGTGTTGCTTCCAAAACTGCCTCCATTTCTCACCAAACTTCCATTCACATTCTGTCCACTAAGAGATTGCTGCTGCACTCCTGTATTATTAGACATCTCCTGCAGCAATTGCTGGAGCATTTGTTGCGGCAAGGCCTGGTTACCTTGTGTGGCCTGTGCATGACTCTGTTGGATCAAGTTATTGGCACTTAATAATGACCGTTGCTGCAGTTGCTGCTGCGACTGTTGAGCAGACAGATGAGGACTTGACAAGCCACTAGCAGGCAAGGATCCAGGCAACATGGAAGCAGGCCCTTGGAATGTTGAAGAGGGGCTCTGGTTAGAATTATTGAAGGAAGATGGTGATTCCTGATGAAGCGTAGGATTTGAAGTCATTGAATTCTGCCTCGTCAGCAGATTATGGTAGTTGGTCAGTGCCAAAGCAGCCTGAGCTGAACCACTTAAAGCTCCTCGACCAACCATGTGATGGTTGTTGGCTGTTGGGCTGTTTATTCCAGGATGCAATGACATCAGCTTATTTAGTGTGCTCCGGTCAGTTGTCAGACCCTGAACATTCGCCAGCTGCTCCATTTCCTGCATTTTCTGCATTTGGAGCTTGGCTGCATTGGCATGTCGAGGATAATTTTTTAAGCCTTCTGCAAAAATGGTGATTGAAGAAAAAGCATATCAAAGTCATAGGTTGACACACTATAGATGGGACATACAAAAGGCTAAACCCTCACTCGAAATTACATGCTTGAAAGAGTTGCAAATATCAAAGACATAAAATATGAAAGACCAAAATAGAACAAATAAATTACTTTTAAGGAATTGAGTGCAACCAACAAGAATGGACGTGTAATGGTCATCAGCCCCGTTTTCTTACCAACGAAGAAACAAGAATGAACATTAAAGTGCAACCAACAAGAATGCAGTCATGTACATCAAAACTTGTATCAAAACAAATCATAAAAATGATCTCCAAGAAAAAAGAGAGCTTTTATTTTATTTTATCACAAGCTGAGCCATCTTTTTTCAAGCACAAATGTAATAACTCTTGCTGAATAGGACACACTTGTCTTGCATCACTTACCAATTGGCCCAACCTTATGCTCCCTACAAAAATCTATCAGATCCTTCATGCTGTTGACAACCTCTGCAATCTGTTAAAAAGAAAAAAAAAAAGAATTAAAAGAAAACTCCAAAAATAATAGCATGGTAAAGTACTTTTTAACAGGTTTCAAAGGCTTGCTGGAGCTTTACCTGCAAGCACCTCACATATCTTTTAGAAAAACCAAGATCATTGAGTGACTGCAACTCCAAACTCTTTGCAAGTTGGCGCCCAGCTGTCAGGACCCTGAGAGAAAGCAATCACCATTGGATCAACATAAACCAAAATGTTCCTAAAGTAGAAAACCTGTTAGAAAGAAGGTTATATTGTTTATTTGACTTCTGTTCTCTCCAAATTGATAAATCTTTTGTATTCTTCTCTATTGTCTACTCAAGTTACCATCATCTTCACAATTTGGTTCAGAAATAGAAGCTACTTGTTTTGAATTTATTTTGCAAGATACACTCACATATTGCTGTTTGTTTGTAAATCCTGCTGAGAAACCCCATCAGAACCACTTTCTGAAATTGTGTTTTGGCATTTCTGGGCCACCTGAAGTAACTGGTTCACCTGTATGATTCATAGAATCAGGTCATGACATGAAACTTGAAAAAAAAAAACTTCAATGGAACACGCTAGAACGACAATGCTAGCTGAAAAAAAAAAAAGGCATTCAAAATCACTACATTGAAATGAAAGCAACAAAATAAAATAATAACTTAAGTAACACAAGTCTTTCCAGTAAGACTTTCAAATGTACCAGGTCAGAAGTGCCAAAAAACACTCTAGTGATAGAGAAAAATTAAGACAGTAATTTGCATTGTTGAAGTTCTTTTATCTCATAAGACAAACTACTATTAACACATCCAGGCAAAAAGGAGCAAATTATAATAAACATGCCGATTGAAATCTTAGCGATACCAGAGCACCAGTGTAGTGATCCTTTTAGGTTCATGACTCTTAATGAATAAAGTTCTCCTAAAAGCATCTTAGCACTAAATTTGTCAATGAAATCACTTATATCAAATCATGGCATCAAAGAAGCACTCTCAAGCAACTTTAACATTACACAGACATGTTAAACACACAACCTAAAAGGCCACAATTTTTTCATACGAGGTGAAGAAATACATTATTCACATTCCTTGAGAAGATGAGTCATAAAACATGTAGATGCAAGCAATTTAAGAGCAGAAATCTTAATTAACTGATATCCAGAAATTAAATCTATCCAAGTTTTTGCCACATCAAATAACAGTTTTTATTGTCATAACATATGAATCAAACATAATCTAAATAGCTTCTTTAGCTCATTAGTTTCCCAGGGTTATTAACAGTTTTCACAGTCTTTGTCCCATCATCATGTGAGACAGTTCTTATCTAAAATGGCAATAACTGCAACAAAATAGTGGAGCTAAAACACTTCTGAATGGTTGCATATGCAGTGAACTTGTCCAGTTATATCCTTGGACGAGTCAAGAGGTAACAACCAACTGCAAACAAATAGATACCTGTGGCGCCACTAAACGGCGAGGATAGAGTTGTTCATGTTTACGTGCACAAAATTCCCAAGACAATATCTATAAAAATGAAATAGTAGCAAAAAGTCATTCTCGGGAACATGGGATATAACAAGAATTAAACATCAAACAGCATTTCCTTCAATTAACCTTTAAATCATGAGTGAAAATAATGCGAAGCTGACCCTCACGAACAACACGAAGCTGGTCATACACACTTTCCTGGACTGCTTTTCCATACTCCAATATCATTACTCCATTAGAAAATCTACACTCACGTGGCAAGTCCAAAAATAAAAGCTCATCAATTACTCCACTGCCAAACTTGATTTCATTGAGCCTTGGAAGTACTTCAAAAGTTGCCTCTGTTTATAAACACATGAATATGAAAGTAATTAGTTGGACCCTATTAAAATTGGTAAAAGGATTAAGAACCAGACTGAAGGCTCAGGACACCTATCGTATCAATGGAAAATTTTGAATTGGGATTACTTTTATCTTATTTAAAAACACATATCTTCAATTTGGGTTCATTTTCGTTAGGGCTGTATGGATACATGAAGTTAAGAAAGATTAGTTCCACAATTTCTTCTAAAACCAATTGAGGAAATTCATACTCTAAAATAAAATCAATGCTTAAGAATCTCTTACCAAAACCCCTTCCAGACTTAGACTTGCAAATTTCACACTGCCAAGCATCCTGAAAGTTTACATTAAAGAACATTAAAGCTTCTATATGTTAGAAGGACATAAATAAATTTAGGATGAAATAAAATAATTGGTACACCATTAAATAATTTTAGATGGTTCATTACCTATGAACTCCTGCAACATTGAAACTCAAATTATCATTTAGAAAAAAAGGCATAAATGTATAGCGTTGCTGCAATGTTACTTGAAGCCAAATCAACTAACACAGCTTGATAATAATCATATTATTTCTAGTTTATATTTGCACAAAATTCCAACTTTCTTATACAAATAATTTTTCATGTAGAAAACGAGGCAAAAAGACTGACCATAGCTGCTTGAGGAAAAACACCAAGTGCATGATGCCCCACATTATCATACATTGACAGACACCATCTTTGCTTTGCATGAGGAGAAAAATACTCGGCCACAAACTTTCTCCAGTAAGCAATGGTATTATCCTATAAAATCAGATAGACAAAGAACAGAGTTAAAACATACTCTGTGCATCAGAAATTACTAAGTTGAAAGAAAATGAAAATAAATTATAATCACAACTGCAATAATGTTATAACACCACCGAAGAACCTACAGTCCAATTCTCAAGAAAACACAATCTATGACTCTTACATAAAACCAATTAGCAGGTAAATGGTAAGGCAACCACATGCCATAAGATAAGGTAAATCAAAACATTAACTCACTTGTGGCCTTTGCCGCTGATGATACAGGTACTGCATCAATCTACGAGCACAAACACCATTATCATATGGACACTTCATTACTTGCTGCATGCCCTGCTGTTGCAATTGCTGCCTCATCTGCATCTGTTGCTGCTGCTGCTGTTGCTGCTGCTGAAGCTGGGCCCTCTGTAATTGGGGTAGAACCTGCAGAAACTGCTGCTGTTGCCTCAGCCTCTGCTGCTGCTGCTGCTGGTGCTGGTGCTGGAACAAGGCTTGTAATTGTGGGTTTCGACCTTGTAACTGCATAGAGTCCTGTCTTTGCAATAGCTGTTGAACCACCTGCTGTTGCAGAATATCTTCCTGCTTGATATCCAGTCTTGGTTTCTTTTGCACCTGAGATAGATTATTAGGGTCTTGCATGTAGGAACCAGGGACTCGTGGCCCCATGGGAAGTGAAACCTGGCCAACTTGTGATGTAGGCAAGGAAGTAGCACTCGAGGCCCCTTGTTGCTGCTGACTCTGCTGCATGTGGGCAGTCGGGTCTTGATGAGAGCCCTGCTGTCCAACAGAGGATCCATCAACAACTGATGAACCTGACATGTTGTTGGAAGTAAACGACATTGGTGATGCTGGTGGCCGCATATACGAATCTGTATTGATGCTTGAACTTCTCTGCAAGTGGGGACCCCCAGAAAGTGCTGAATTTGCATCTGTGACCAAAGAACTGGCTCCAACATTAGGTCCCGAGTTTGCAACGCTATTCAACACTGCATTGTTCATGTCCCCAGAAACTGGACCCAGAGTTGGGCGCCCAGTACCAGGAACCGAATTAGAAGAGTTAACATAAGATGAGCTCAAGTGAGAGTTAACTACAGCCTGGGACTGCCCATCTCCTTGGAAGAAAATTCCTGAACTTGAGGAAGATTGAGTTAATCCTCCAGCTACTCGAGAAGGCACCATTGGAGGCACCACCCCTCGATGGCTGGAATCTAAGTAGCTATCCAGAGCCAGGCCTGACTAGTATGTACAATATTATTATATACACTCAACCACCTTAATACCAAAAAAAAGAAAAAAAAAAGAAAAAAAAAGAAGCAAAACTGGAGCAGTAGAAAGATCCCCAGAAAAGAGTGACTGATGTGAAATACAACCAGCAACTTTAGTATCCAACCTCATAAACAAAAAGAACTACAAAACAAGTTCCTTGTATTGCTACTTTCGCTGCTTGATGCAAATATTATTTCAAAAGTACAGGCTCTTGCCGGATGAAACTGACTGCAATGCCTATGATCTGTTCGAGACCTCCCCAAGTTTGCCACAGGATCTAAAAATAGCATTCACTAGAGAGAAGATTACAGAAGTCAGCACTAGAAATGCATAAGCTAAAATAGTGAAAAAGCTAGAAGAATTTCAAAGGAACTAAACTCAGGTAAAAATCACAATTGGAAATATTATAAAAGTAACCCAACACCAATATTAACTCCTAAACCACAAAGAACACAATTCCCTAATTATCCCCAAGAAACCCTAATTTCAAACTGCACTACCTAACCCAACAACGTCCACACGAAGCTCAAACGCCAAATTAGTCCTCTTAAAAAGACAACACAAGCGATCAGACCACATCTATAATGAAAATGACCCATTAATCGAATTTAATCTCGAAACACTCACTCACATTGAAAAATCTAATAAACCCACCAAAATCCCAACTTGAATCAAACATTAAAAACCCACCAAAACCAACATATTAACTTTAATTAAACAGCTAATATCACGTTAAACAGAAAGATCAAGAAACAAAAAGCTAAACAAACTCAAAAAAATAAAAAAAAACCCATAAACTCTCTAGAAAAACCAGTAATCCCTCAGTTTCTGAGATCGATCAAAGCTGATTTAAGCTAAGAAATTAATTAAACTACCAAAAGTAAAATTAAACAAAAAAATTACCAAAAAAAAAAGGGAGGAAAATTTTTAGAAACGAATAGAAGCAACAAACCTCAAAATCGCTTACTGGCAAAAGGCCAAAACGTTAATTTTGCAAACAGAGAATTTGGGAAGAGAGAGATTTCGAGGAGGCTGTTTATATAGCTAGCGGGAGTTGCAGAGACGTAGTGACCGGCTGCGTCGGTAAATTGCCCTATATCACCGGGTATTACCAGTGTACCACGGGACACGTGTCGCGAACAGAATGGCGGATAAGATCTCGGGGGGTTTGAAGCTTGCGTGGCGGAATATTATTCGTTGATCTTTAGGTCACGGTATTGATGGATCGTGCGCGTGGATTTCATCAGGTACGTTTCCCCGGGGCAGAGATCCGGTACATCCTCATCCGGTAAAGAGATGCTGCTAGATCCGCTGTCTCTTCATCGAACGGCGGAGTTTTGAAAAATATCTTTTTGAGTTTTCGGTGTGATTGAAGGGTGCAGCGTGTGGTTTTTGGATTTGGATGTAGTAGATTGTTGCAGGGAATCACCGAATAGGGTATAGGATAGGGATGGATCGTGAATCGGACACGTGGATTGAAGGAGGAGGTAATAAAAACTAGGCGTCGTGTGGCTTTTGCCAGACTATGCAGGAATTCTTTATTTATTTTTTTTTTGGTGAAAGGGAATTCTTTAATTTAGTTGGACGACATTTGGGTTATAAAAATAAAAAAGGTTTATTTATTTGAAAATAGTGTTATATGTCTTATTTCGTAAAATTTAAAAGAGATATTATTTTAATAAATATTTATTAAAAAAATTAAAATATTATATTTTTAAAATATAAATTAAGATATTTTTTATTTTTTTATTTT